GCTTAAATCTATCACGTTTTCCGATATTTTATGTCACATTCAAAACCAAGGTGTACCACCCAAATATCTCTGACACACAATCTCTCAATCTCGACATGCTGAAGGGAGGAGGATGGACTCCTGGTTATACCATTCCTGATGTATGGCTTTGCATTCTCTATTCTCTACCATTTCACTATAATATTCACAGTAAAAAAAATTATATTAGTGCAACTTTCTTGTTTGTTGGAAATAGGTCCTCATGACTCTTTGGGGAATGCTCTTGACCCCAGATTTGAGGATTCTGATAAGATTAACGATTCTTATCTCTGCTTGTTTATGACGTTTGTTTTGGTGGCTTAGATGGAAGTCTAGATTTGCAATTGACCACAAATTACTGTCTAGATCTGAAATCACCCCGACACACCTATCCACATGACTTTTTACACCGCTTCGTCATTCTTTATATACTTATTCCCGTATACTCGGTTTAAGGAACCTCACAACCTTAACTTTTTGGTTTCCAACTCTGCTTTTAAAATTTGGTTTATCCCATGTTCAAAAATTTGCTAGGCGTTAACAAGACGTTTGAGGTATGTTTACTGGTTAATTAATCAATTAAACGTACATAAATCGAGGATTAGGTAAAACCGTCGGTCGGCCGTACCTTTGAAAACAGTAAAAAATTATCCGTTTTTGTAGGATTGTCAATGTAATCGTTTTCACAATTGGTAATAGAATAATAAATCAATGTTAAAAAGAAAATCGAATATTTGCTTTAGTTAACTATTTAATTTTAAGTTTATGTATTAGCTATAGTAAAAACAAAACAATAAGAACAACATAGTTTCGTACAGTGAATAGGTTTTAATAGTGTATATAACCCGAGTTTGATATCCTAATATCAAAATTTTAAAGTTAATTATTATTATTCTTCTTTGTCGAATTTATTCAAAATATTTTTTAAACAGAAACTAAACTAATCATAAAAAGTGAAATGGAAATAAAAACAAAATGTGAATCACATTTGCCTCTTACTTCCTCCGAGCGAGATCTCCCATCAACTCTTTCGTGGACCTCCTCTGTTCTCTTCTATTTAAACTCCGATTACTCTCGTTTCTACTGTCGTCAATTTCTCCAGTACGGCGATATCACATAATACAAATATAAAATTGTATTTGTGATACTTGATATAGTTTATAGATATTTTCCAAAATTATTCTACTAATGGTGTATTTCAAGAAATTCACCAAAAAATGGTCAGACCATGTATAACACAGTTCTTGCTATATGATCGTCAAGGTCTCGCTTCATTTGGCTAGCTCGATAATCTTGAAAAAATATTAGTTGTTTTGAAGAATGTACAAATAATTTTGTATATATTTATGATCCGTTTATGTTTATTCTTCTATTGTATTTTATTATAGACGGTAGAGAAACGGTTGAATTTTAACTTTTTAATAATTATGATTTTAACTATATCTTATCCTTTTTGTCAAAATATTATTATACGATGTGCATAACATATGACTTAAAAAGGCATTTCCAATGTATTACCTTATATTTTACTCTAAAATGAAAAAAAAAAATCTCAAAATAAAGTTAAGTTTTGCTCCAATATATTGCTTTTGAAAAACTTTTTATTAGTTACTAAAATTACATTGTATATTTATATATATTAAAAATTGCCTCGTAATTTTGTTTTCTTTTCACGATTTGTTATAATTATTTAAATAAATTATTAAAATATTAATAATACATCACAAGACTAAGAATAACAACACAAACTGGAATTTATCTTTAATTAGAGCCATTTGAATATTTTTCTCATAAATGATCAACTAAACCCGTAATAGTTGTTTTAATAAATTTCTTTTTGATGTGATATCTAATAAAATTATTTTTCCTTTCTTTTGAAATTTATTATTAGCTTAAATAATTATATTTCCTATTAAATATCTGCTATTGTATTTTAGAGTAAAAATAAACATCAAAATAATCAATTATATAGCTTACACTGAAATAATTTAAAATTTAAAATACTTTAATACAAATTAAAAACTTCAACTCCAAAATGGAATTAAAAATGGGATCATCCTCAATTTGGAAAAAAATATGGCATTTTGCTATTTTGAAGTTGAAAATAGAATTGAGTTAAAGAAAAATTGACTCCAGAATAATAATAAAAATGAATATAGGGCTACAATAAAGATGAATATAGGGCTGAATTGGAGATGTAATCTGATACTATTTGGAAGGTCTCGTTAGAATACAACCACAATCAAAATCCACTCAACAATTTATTAACTCACTGATAACATCATGAGGTCAAAAATCGCTAAAGAAATCTAGGATAATTTATAGATTTATGGATAAAGATCACATTAAGTTGCTAATAACGTATGTGAAGTTATGAAAGATTGATGAGAGAGAGTTAAACATGAAAAAAACCAATAGAAAAAACAAAAGACGCTATTTTAGGAGGCAAATGTCTAAATGAACGGTGTGACAAGAGACTTGGTCTTTTATTTCTTTCTGGCCCACTCATTATGATTTTAATCTCAGTAAAAAACAGAAAATCCATATCTCAAATCCATTTTTCTATTTTTGCTTCCTTCTTTTTTCAAGGTGTCATTGCAGATACTGTTCAAAATTACGGATATTTTCTATTTAGCTTTTTACTACTTTCCTCTGTTTCGCGTGTGATCATTAACTCGAGATGAATCCTAGGATAATCCTAGTTAATATCACACGCGGAATCCTCTAAGATCCAAAGTGTATATTGTATCAACATTTGGGAGATTTTGAAGGATTTATGTGGAGTTTTTGGAAGAAGAAGAAGAAGGAGAAAGGCCAAAAGATTTGGTAAAGACAACTTTTCCGTTTCTTTGTTGTTTATGTCCAAACAAGGCTTTTCAATCATTTGATCCCTTTCCTTATTTTTCAAGTGCTCTAAATTGATCTGGGAAATCTACAAATTCTTGGTGTTTCGACGTCACTTTTTCTTTTTAGTATTTTAAAAACCAATCGTCGTGGTCGGAAAAAGAGAATCTCAAAAACAATTTGACCATTGGGTGTCGTTTCTCTCAATATATTCTTCTGGGTTTTTTTTTTTTTGTATATTCTTCTTCAAAAAAAGACGTGTTGAGCTGTAAACATTTTCTTTTTCTCTCTCTTGATTTTCTCTGTCTTTTTAAATTTTCTTCAATGTTTCACATTTTCCTTGGAAAATTGTGAATTTCGAGTCTCACATTTCTCTCTCGGGAACAGAGTTTATTTTATTTATTTTTCTTTCTCTCTTCATTACTTCTTCTTCTTCCACAGTGAAACACGCGTCTCTGCTTTCATCTTCTTGCTGTCAAATGAAATCCGATTTGTAGCTTTTCACATCTCTCTCACTCTCTCTCTAGACAAAAATGGCACCGAAGTATGAATGGTGGGCCAAAGGAAACAACAACCGGAAAGGCACTCCGGTCGTCGTCAAAATGGAAAACCCTAACAACTGGTCAATGGTGGAGCTCCAGTCACCGTCCGAGCAAGACTTCCTCGTCGAAGGCCGCCGTGAGAAATCTCGCAACAAGAACGCGAGACAGCTCACATGGGTCCTCCTCCTCAAAGCTCACCGCGCCGCCGGCTGTCTCACTTCCCTCGGCTCAGCATTAATCGCTCTCGGCACCGCCGTACGCCGTCGCATCGCCGCCGGCCGTACAGACACCGAAACCTCCTCCTCCTCCTCTTCCTCCTCCTCTCTAACCATCCCCAAACAGAAACCGAGATTCCTCTACTCGTGCCTAAAGCTGTTCCTATGGCTTTCCTTAACGCTTCTAGCTTTCGAAGCCGCTGCGTACTTCAAAGGATGGCATTTCGAAACGCCGAAGCTTCAGCTTCAGTTTATCTTCACAATGTCTCCTTTCGCCACCAAAGCCTTGTTCGATTGGGTTTACACTCACTGGGTCCTGCTCCGCGTCGAGTATCTCGCTCCGCCGCTTCAGTTCCTCGCTAATGCTTGCATCGTCCTCTTCCTCATCCAGAGCCTCGACAGACTCGTCCTCTGCTTGGGCTGTTTCTGGATCCGCTTCAGAAAAATCAAACCCGTCCCTAAATCATCACCGTCGGATCTCGAATCCGGCGACAATGGCCAATTCCTCCCAATGGTTCTTGTTCAAATCCCAATGTGTAACGAAAAAGAGGTAAAATTAAAATAAAATCAATTTTCGATAAGAGATTATTATTAGTCGAAAGCAAATATTTTTTTATCCATTTTTTGGATTTTTTGACAGGTTTATCAGCAATCGATTGGGGCGGTGTGTAACTTAGACTGGCCAAAAGAAAAGATTTTGATTCAGATTTTGGATGACTCTGATGATCCAATCACGCAGAGTCTGATAAAAGAAGAGGTTCACAAATGGCAGAAGGAAGGTGCGCGTATCGTGTATCGTCACCGTGTGAACAGAGAAGGCTACAAAGCTGGGAATCTCAAGTCCGCCATGAACTGCAGCTACGTCAAGGACTACGAGTTCGTTGCCATTTTCGACGCTGATTTTCAGCCTTTACCTGATTTCCTCAAAAAGACAATTCCTCATTTCAAGGTAAGTTTTTTTTTGTTTCATTAAACTTTTTGAGAGATTTTGTTCAAGTTTTAAGCAATTGTAACAGGACAATGAGGAGCTAGGGCTGGTACAGGCGAGATGGTCGTTTGTGAACCAGGAAGAGAACTTGTTGACGAGATTACAGAACATAAACTTGGCGTTTCACTTTGAGGTTGAGCAGCAAGTGAACAGCGTCTTCTTGAACTTCTTCGGGTTCAATGGGACAGCTGGCGTGTGGAGGATCAAGGCCTTGGAAGACTCCGGTGGTTGGCTCGAGAGAACTACCGTCGAGGACATGGACATTGCCGTTCGTGCTCATCTCCATGGCTGGAAATTCATCTTCCTTAATGACGTTGAGGTATTGCAGTGTTTCTTGATTACTGACTAAAGTGTTTCTTGATTTTCTTGGCTAAGCATCTTCTTCCTTGTTCAGTGCATTTGCGAAATACCGGAGTCGTATGAAGCTTACAGAAAGCAGCAACACCGATGGCATTCAGGTCCTATGCAACTCTTTCGCCTTTGTTTGCCAGCTGTCATCAAATCAAAGGTGCGACAACAAACTTGTTGAAGAGTTTTTGGTTTAAGCTAGGGTTTTTTGTGATACTCACTGTGTGTGTGTGTGTTATGTAGATAAGCATAGGGAAGAAGTTCAATTTGATATTCCTCTTCTTCCTACTGAGGAAGCTGATCTTGCCCTTCTACTCATTCACACTCTTTTGCATCATCTTGCCAATGACCATGTTCGTGCCGGAGGCAGAGCTTCCTGCATGGGTTGTCTGCTACATACCCGCAACGATGTCGTTCCTCAACATTCTTCCGGCGCCCAAGTCGTTTCCGTTTATCGTTCCTTACCTTCTCTTTGAGAACACAATGTCCGTGACCAAGTTCAACGCCATGGTCTCGGGTCTGTTTCAGCTAGGGAGTGCGTACGAATGGGTTGTCACGAAGAAATCAGGGAGGTCGTCGGAAGGAGATCTTGCTGCTCTGGTTGAGAAAGAAGGAGTGAAGACGAAGCATCATCAGAGAGGCGTCTCTGCGCCGGAGACAGAGGCTGAGAAGAAAGCTCAGAAGAAGAACAAGAAGAAGAAGCATAATCGGATATACATGAAGGAGCTGTCGCTGGCGTTTCTGTTGTTAACGGCTGCAACGAGAAGTCTGTTGTCGGCTCAAGGAATCCATTTTTACTTCCTCTTGTTTCAGGGGATATCATTCTTGTTGGTGGGTCTAGATCTTATTGGAGAGCAAGTTGAATGACAGTAAAAGAGATTGAGAAATGGGGTCTAAAGTAGTGGCTTGTAGAGAAACATTGTAGAAGAGACAGGAAAGGGGGTCTGGACCCAAAAGAATACACAATTACAAATCTGTATCACATCATTTGAACATAGATCAGCTTTCACAGAGGAGGGGCATGGATAAAATTTGTTGGTAATATGTAAGCTTTATCTCCGTTTGGGTTTGGCCACGGTTCTTTTATTCTTTAAATGGGCAATTCTTTTGTAAGAAAGTTATGTTTGGTAAAAAAAGCAAATCATTTCAGCAAAAAAGAGACTTTAAGCTGTAGTTATTAGTAACAAATTCAAAGATAATCTGTTTAACTGATCATGAAACAATACAGAAATTCGTTGATATAGTAATCTTTGGACACGCCTTCACTTCTTACACTTCAGAGTTACTTTTGATAAGCATTTTTCTTGTTTATCTTGGCCAGATATAGTCTATTAGACCTTGTAGGTTTGTTAAGATGATTTGTTCATGGGCATTCTTTGTTACTGGTAGGTTCCAATGATTTTGTCACTCAGCAAGATGGTGATACATGTTCAAGAGTGATCTAAATAGACATAAGAACCAATGATTTAATAATGTTAAACCAATAATCTTAACCAATGATTTAATAATCTTAAACCAATGATCTAAATAGACATAGGTTCCAATTACTCGGTTTCAAAAGTTGTCTTTTTTATATTCCTTTATATTTAAGAAATGCATAAAAAATAGATCCAATGAAACCCAGCGATTGACCCATAACGTTTACCTGTAATACATCAGCCATTGTCAGAGAGTTGGTTCATAGAATACATACCAATATATTTGTCACAATGAAAAAAAAACAACAAAGTCAAGAATAGAAACTCACCCAATCAAAGGGAAGTCCAGCAAATACAAGCCAGCCTAGTGCAATTGTGAACAAATCCTGCCATCCATTTTGATTAAGATTACCAATAAATTCACATGGGTACGTGAATATTAAGCTACAACATTATAAATAGATACAAATGTGTTTTATGCAATGAAACCGAATTTCTCTGTTTATTGTAAAATTGAGAAATATAAAACGTACAAAGTTAAAAGAAATGTACCTTCATATTACCACATATTGAATGTGTCAGTGCTGAATTAAGGGTTGTGTTGAGGAACACAAAGTAATTTATCAAGAAAGCCAGTATACATGAAAGGCATATCACCACCTGCAAAGATATTCAAACATGATATATAAACCATACAAAAAAATCTATTATTTTAAGCTTTGCAAACGATTATATGATAACATCGTTTTAAAGATATTTTGGTTCAAAGAAGACTATTGTATGGAAGTCGGTAAATAAATAAATAGAAAAGTACCTGGAAGCCAAGAGAGTGTAGATGAGGAAAATATAACATGGCTTCTAGTTCACCTTTTATTGATGTCCAAAACAATAAAAATGGAATGCAAATTATTCCTGTATGTCGCCAATGTTTTACAAGAAGGATTTATATCGATTAATTTTTTTTCTAGAAACATTAGTACGTATGTGACCAAACGAAAATATTGTAAATTGTTTTATACCATTGCACCACATTAGTCCAAAGGTATTGAGACCACTCGATTTTCCTAAGAACATACAGAAACAAAAAAATAAGTACACAATTAGTGGAGATCGAACTTCATGAAAATATAGTAAAATGAGGGTTATATTACCAATACGGGCGATCAAGGCAAGATAGGTCGCTGTACATATATTTGCTGTGAACACCAATCCATACCCGTAAGCATCAAATGATAAGTCTCTTATTCCAGCGACAATAGCACCTAATATTATTATCCCCACACTGATCATAAAGGTTGTGTATTAGTACATCTAACGTTTGGATTAATGGATTATTATTGTGCAGTTATGTAATAGGTAATACTATTTAACAAAAATGTGAAGTACCTGCAGATGATTGAAAACGAATGTTTTTGTCCAGAGAGGAAATACTCCATGATCATCGTAAACAATATAGTAGTGCGTCGAAGGGTAGTGTACATTGGAACATTGATATTACGTACGGACTCCATTGTTACTACCTGTGATCATGCAAACTAATAGAATAAAAATGTTTTTTTCTTATGATAAAACTGATTACCAAAAAATGTACACTAGAAATCAATGCATACCATATAAAGTAGATACGTGAATGCGAGAGGGATCGTTTGAACCAAGCATCTTGCTGAAACAAGGGTCAACAAATTGTTGCCATGCTTGCTCTTGGATTCATCGATATTGAAAGATGTAATAATCTTAAAATATTTCATCACATACAAAATGAAACAAGAAGAAACCATCTGGAGTACCACACACACACACACACACACACACACACAAAAAAAGAATCTTGTGATAATTTATTCTTAAAGTTTACGAAATTGAGCAAATTATAGTGAGTGAATATAAATATAATTACCAATCTCCATGACCAAAATAAAAGGAGTGAGTCATGAATTACCTGAAGTAGAGTTATGACATTTGCACTTGGGAAACTATAGGAAGAGAGTGCCGCTTTATTGAAAATTACTAACAGAACTGCACGTATTGAAATTTAGATCTCATTAGCTAGGCAACAAAATATATCCAACATTTGAAAAGTCTTAAGAAATGAATTTGGCTTCCAGTAGAGTGTATGTGAAATAAGATTTGCAATATCCAATGAGAGATACGTATACACAGAACTACTCTCATTTTACCTTTCAAACAATTTTTTTTGGGGTCAAAAACATACATCAAACCAAAAGTGCAAAAAATAACATACCAGCGGAAACCATGTAGGAAACGGCAGCAAAGACTCCTTTAAGCGACATGCCTGATGGCGAAAGTCTCTCTTTTTTGGGTTCTTCAATGACAATCGTCAACGTCTTTCTCTCCGGTGACTCCATTTCTTTTCTTTTTCTCACCCAACATAATATTTTGAGCACAAATCGCAATATGTATACATTTATTTTTTTTATTTTATTTTATAAAAAAGTATATAATCTGTATGTATTAAAAGTTGATACATGCATTAACTGGATCCCTCAAATTGTAAGGACATATATTCATGATTTCTTGGTAAGGAAATATATTCTAACTCTTGATTCTCTTTTTATCAATTTTATAAAAGGGAAAACAAGATACAAATCTATAATGACTTAAAACAAGGATTTTGAGGATTTTTAGGCCACCAACCTCAGCAATTTCAACTATTTTCTTATTTTTGGTGAATACAATTTCAACTATTTTCTTATGCCACATGGTTTTAGTTCCAAATTCGATGAGCAAGTCTTTCACTTATAAAACGAGCAATCATTTTCCATATTCTTACAATATGATGTTGTGTTGGGATAATTAATCTGAGCCTGATGCAAGAATGCATAATCCATTAACAAAATCTAATTTGTTTTGTCAATTCTATTAATTGAAAAAATATGTAGTTTAGATGAGTCGATCTGAGAACAAAGTTGTGAAGAAAGATCTTAGTTTTGATACATGTTCACTTTAACAATGTCAAATGCGTAAAGTCTAGCACTCCTTCATATTCCATCCATCTTAAAATTTAAATACCATGAAATAAAATGATAAAGAAAAAAACTCAATACTAAAAACATCTCATTCTATAAAAAACCCTAGATGTATATGCAAAAAAACGTAAATTAAAAAATATTAAAGTGATCAACTCTTGTATCATGGAGGATAATGCCAGCTCTGGAGTTATTAAGCCTATATTGAAACATAGTTTCATCTTTAAAACTCTAGTGTAGTACTTACAATTTCATAAAAAAAATACAAAATAAATTTATTTGGTATTTTACATTAAGTTCATAAATGTAATGGATTTTTACAGTTTTTTGTTGCATGGAAACAGTAAACGGAAACGCGGATATGAAATATTTTCGAAAGGAGAAACATTTATTTTGAAAAATATAAGATTATGATATTTATAAATTTGTGTATATATACAATAAAAAACAAAGACATGTTGGGCATATATATTTATTCATATATATATATATTTCAATAATATAAATTCATTAGAATTTATGTTAAATGGTTATTTTGGCAAAGCTAATAGTTTTCACATATTTATATCCGAAACATTCATATGTTAATGCCAGTTCACTACACATGCCAATAGTTGTAACTAAGAAAACGTTAACTTTATACGCCACATATTATATAATTTTTTTAATTATATTTATATTATTTGTTACCACCACTTATACTTCTTATAGAGCAATGACATTTAAATTTTAGACAAGCCATCGGTTTTCTATCCTTTCTCATACAATGATATGCACATTCATGGCAAAATCCAACAAGATCGTTAGAGGCTAAGGGTTTAAAATGTTCGTCTGGTGGAAGAATACCATTTCTCTGAATATTAATTGGAGGATTTGCTTCTAAAATAGAAATTGTTGCTCTCTCAACGAAATTAAATTTTGCCATAATATTAGATGCACCTAAATTTTTTTAAAAAAATAAATTGGTTCATTAAATTAATATTTCCATAAAGAATATAAAAAATTTCAGCATATTAACATACAAAAGAAAGAAAAGACTCACATAACAAAAGAATAACTGAAAAGGTTAAACATAAAATACTTGTTTTCATTTTCCTTTAAATTTTTTAATAGTAATTAAGAAAAATACTTGTAATGGTATTATTCTTACTAAATGTTCAAACTTTTTGTTGTGAAGTTTATTAAGTTTAGATAATGCCATATTTATATGTGTTTTTACTTATGTTATACAATGATTAATGACCTAGTCAATGTTTTTATATGTTATATAAACGTTATAGAAATTACTCGGTTTTAAGTTACATATTTAAAAAAAAAACTATTTATAGATTTGTAATTACCGTTTTCAGTAATTAACTTGTAATTGTAGAAGAAATGTACAATTCAAATTAGTTTTTTCTTGATTTGTTTCAAGATTACAAATTCTCACCTTAATCAGTCCCGTTCTTTCTTTATGTTTTTC